GCTGCGCACTTTGTGTAGTAGCGAGAAAACTCTTGGAACTCTCAAGCTTGTAAAATCTTCATCCGAGTCTGGGGCAGAATGAAAGTGAAAAAGTTCTTTTTCCCCAATTGCTGCCAATGTTTATTAACGCTGCCTCAGCCATGAATTCCACCATGCTCGTTACTTTATGTGTTCAAAGAGAACCTGTGATGGATAAAGCAAAGAAACACCATGGAGAGCCCCCTTCAAACTGTCCACTGTGCGGTCAGGAACCTCCTGAACCTGATCACACCACATATCAGGGCCCCGGACTTGTCCAGTGTGTGGGGCCTTTGGCTTGGCTCCTTCTATATTGCAACTGAATGGAGCACCTTGGCAGTCAGTAGACACACGACAGAGGGCCTTACACTTCAATGTCCTATCATAGTCATGCACTGTTATTATTATTATACGTTTATATAGCTCTGACATATAACGCAGTGCTGTACAGAGAACACTGAGCCAGTCACATCATCTCTGCACCAGAGGAGCTCACATTCTAATGTCCCGTCACAATCACACACTATTATTATACATTTATATAGCTCTGACATATACCGCAGTGCTGTACAGAGAACACTGAGCCAGTCACATCAGTCTGAGCACCAGAGGAGCTTACACTCTAATGTCCTCCCACAGTTATACACTATTATTATACATTTATATAGCTCTGACATATACCACAGTGCAGTACAAAGAACACCCAGCCAGTCACATTAGTCTCTGCAAAATAAGGGCTTACACTCTAATGTCCCCCCCCAGTCACATACCATTATTATTATTCATTTATATAGCTGACATATACCACAGTGCAGTACAGAGAACACTCAGCCGTCATATCCGTTTGTGCGCCTGAGAGCTTACACTCTATTGTCACACACTATTAATATTATACATTTATATAGCTCTGACATATACCACAGTGCTGTACAGAGAACACTGAGCCAGTCACATCATTTTCTGTACCAGAGGAGCTTACGCTTTAATGTCAAACACCATTATTATACATTTATATAGCTCTGACATATACTGCAGTGCTGTACATAGAACACTGAGCCAGTCATGTCAGTCTCTGCACCAGAGGAGCTTACACTCTAATGTCACACACCATTATTATACATTTATAATAGCTCTGACATATACCGTAGTGCTGTACAGAGAACACTGAGCCAGTCACATCAGTCTCTGCACCAGAGGAGCTTACACTCTAATGTCCCCCCACAGTCACACCCTATTATTATACATTTATATAGCTCTGACATATACCGCGGTGTTGTACAGAGAACACTGAGCCAGTCACATCAGTCTCTGCACCAGAGGAGCTTACACTCTAATGAGAATATCCAAAATGATTTCCAGTTCAGTAGCACCCTGCTGGGAACTGAACACATAATTCTGGAACTGCAGCGCTGCGGTGCTCCCATACTAAGCCCACTTCCCAGTTGGCATCAGATGTTCCCAGATTTCTGTGCCACTTTGTTACCATTGATAAGAAAACACGGCTTCTGTGTTAATGTAAGACACTGAAAATGGCCTGTGTGAGACCAGTGTGCAGCAAGAAGCGCGGGTGGGGGGGAGCGCAGTGTGCGCGGACAGTGCTGCACAGTAACTGGCAGACAGACTGGAGCCGGTGTTAATGGGACAGCAGCCCTGAGACTCAGGGGAACAGCCAAACAACGAGATTGTTCAGAGAATCCCCCCCACCCCACCGCCCTTCGGAGCAGAATATACGTCGATTACGCCTCGACAGCCTTCGATTAATGAGGAGATGCTGAAATCCCTAAATACAGCCAACTAATGAGTTTACCTCCTTTCCTTGCAAGATGGGGGAAGGGGGTGCTTAACACATGTGCCTCCAATGCCTGACACCTTCACAAACCATGTGTTTGCATTGTGCCTGCAGCCCGAGCAACAGGATCTGTGTCCATTGTGTCTGCTTGGAGAAGAGCTGACCACACACAGCAATAAAAAAACGTTGAATTAACTTGCATTTACTATATATGACGGCGATAAGTACATTTTTTCTTTCTTTTTTATCATTGACTTCTGTTGTGCGTCTGGTTTATATTATTTATTACAGTTCCTTATATAGCGCCATCAATTTACGCAGCGCTTTACATACATAGTGTACATTCACATCAGTCCCGGTTTATATGGCAGTTATGCGCAGTTTGCTGTACTATATTTCTGTATTATATTTCCTGAAGCATGCGCTAATTTTGATGTATAAAAAAACTAAAAATCATCCTGATATGGAAATACCCTAACCAATAGCGGCCAACACCCAATAATAATACCAATCAGAACAAAAAATAAAATGAATGGTGCAGCGCTAACTACAAAAGTGAATGAAATTGAATAAAAATGAATGTGTATACATATATTCATAAAGTGCTAATGAATCAACAAACCAAAAATATACATATCACAATAAAGTGCTAATCAGAACCGTGAAAAAAAGTGGACAATATTAGTGTATGGGTCAGCTTAGTGACCTAAAAATAGTGATAAACACACACAATATATAATGAAATAACCTGTTAAGTGTCCTTGGTGATAATCAAAAAACCTTTTTAAAGCAAGTACTAATAAGTCCATAAAGTAACAAGTGCTGATAAAATGTGATAAAAACACCATGCAATGTGTTAAACGTGAACTTATATCCCCCAGACGAAGCCACGTGACCCTGTGGCGCAACGCGTTGGGGAGGGGCATAGACGTCACCACGTACCCGGACTCCGATGCACGGCGAGTACAGGCAGTGTGAGTTCACACGCCGCTCAGGCTGCACATATCTCATATAGAAAGCGCTTTGATGTTTTTAAACTTGTAAGTGCAAAATTGGTACAAATACATTTTTATGCTCATCAAGGATAAGGCACTATTCCTTTCTCTTTTTCCTCTGGCGATACGCTGAGTAATAGGGAGAAAATATACAATAACTCTTGGAGGGAAGACCTTACCCAGGATCCATTCACAGCAGAACAATAGGAGCAAAGAGGAGAATCATTCAGTCTTCTACTAGTAGAAGAATACACCAAGTAACTCATTTCATTCTGAGAAGTCTTATTTTGGAAATCATGTGAACAGTCCATTTGCAATATATAGTCCCACCTAGATGGGATTCAATATGAGATGGGATGAACATTTTATGAATTATTTATTTTAAATTTATTTATTTTTATTAATTATTATTGATTATTTTTTTCAATTAATATCAATTATTTTTTAGATTATTTATTTATTTATTTAAAATATTTATTTATTTTTTTGATGTATATTAATGAGGTGCACATTTTATATATTTTTAAATTAAGGGTAATTATTTATAAATTATAGAATTATTATTTTGTCAAAATTTTATTTTATTTATTTATTCACGGTTCTAATTTAAGGGCACAGCACCATTATCCTTTTTAAAACGTGAACTTAACACCAGGTTATTTCATTATATATTGTGTGTTTATCACTATTTTTAGGTCACTAAGGTGACCCATACACTTGTATTGTCCACTTTTTTTCACGGTTCTGATTAGCACTTTATTGTGATATGTGTATTTTTTTGGTTTGTTGATTCATTAGCGCTTTATGAATATATGTATACACATTTATTTTTATTCATTTTTATTTAATTTCATTCACTTTTGTAGTTAGCGCTGCACCATTCATTTTCAATTTTGATGTATAATCGCGTATTTTATTAGGTAAGCAGTTCGCCAATATTTGTATTTTTCATAGCGGAGTTATTTCCCCGCGCCTTTCCCTGCGCCTGCCGGACTGGAAGTGTCAGTTCTGCGAGGCCTGCAGAATATGCGACAGCAGTGTTGTCAGTTGCAACAGGCATGCGTGCCTGCGATCAATACAAATTCTGAGGATTCTGACTTTGCACGGTGGATTTAACCCCTAGATTCCTGCGTTTTCAGAGGGAACGGATTGGAAGTATAACGCAGAGGCAGCCATGTTCCTGTACAACCCCCCCCCATTCTCTTCTCCAGAGGAATCCAGATCACTGCCAAGTGAAAGCTGCACTGGAGCCAAGACCCTGCTTGTTCCCTCGTCTTGCTGGAGCCAGCAAGTGACCTTACTAGCTGGGAGGGCAGCTTCCTTGTTAGCGCACATCTGGCGTAGGGGGTGGGGGGGGGTGGGGGCTGTCCCTGCATTGTCTCCCCCGGCTTCGCTGACCTTGCCTTACCTTGCAGGAATGCTGACATGGTTTTAACGCATCTGGTGAGAATTTCTGCAGCCAGGCGGCGCCCAGCCTCCCCTCTAAGGCCAAAAGAGTGGACGGCAAAACGGAATGGCCGACTGGCAGAGGTGGTAGAGGGTCAAAAAAAATATTAAAGACGTTACAAAGTAAACAAAATGATACAAAACAATTCACGTCGCTTGTATTTATACACAAAACCATTTTCCTTAATTGTAATTACTAAAAATATCCCATTGTCTAGTAAATATCTGGACGGGGGTGTATGTAAAGAAACTTTAATGGCCGGAAACGTGTTTTGGGCTCTGTACATTGTTGTTTGGTGGGTGGCCAATGTTGAAGTGACCCTGTCAGATGCAACAAATGTGTTTGTCCTAATGCTACTGCCATAAATGAAGGCAAAATGGATCTTTGGTAGTATCAGGAGTTGTCAGAGACTGCAGACCTACTGTAAGAGATGATCAGAGTCTGCAGACATGGAACAGGAGATGGTCAGAGACTGCAGACCCACTACAAGAGATGGTCAGAGACTGCAGACATACTGCAAGGGGTGATCAGAGACTGGGGGCCTTTTACAGGAGATGGTCAGAGACTGCAGACATGGAACAGGGGAACAGGAGATGGTCAGAGACTGCAGACCCACTACAAGAGATGGTCAGAGACTGCAGACATACTGCAAGGGGTGATCAGAGACTGGGGGCCTTTTACAGGAGATGGTCAGAGACTGCAGACATGGAACAGGGGAACAGGAGATGGTCAGAGACTGCAGACCCACTACAAGAGATGGTCAGAGACTGCAGACATACTGCAAGGGGTGGTCAGAGACTGGGGACTTACTACAAGAGGTGATCAGAGACTGGGGACCTACTACAGGAGATGGTCAGACTGCAGACATGGAACAGGAGATGCTCAGAGACTGCAGACATACTACATGAGATGGTCAGAGACTGCAGACATGCTACAGGAGATAGTCATAGACTGCAGACATACTGCAAGAGGTGATCAGAGACTGCCAACATACTAGAAGAGGTGATCAGAGACTTGGGACCTACTACAGGAGATGGTCAGGGACTGCAGACATGCTACAGGAGATGGTCATAGACTGCGACCTGCTACAGGAGATGGTCATAGACTGCTGACATACTGCAATAGGTGGTCAGGGACTGCCGACATACTAGAAGAGGTGATCAGAGACTGCGGACCTACTACAGGAGATGGTCAGAGATTGCAGACATGAAACAGGAGATGGTCAGACTGCAGACATACTACAAGAGATGGTCATAGACTGCAGACATGGAACAGGAGATGGTCAGGCTGTAGGCTTACTACAAGAGATGGTCAGAGACTGCAGACATACTACAAGAGATGGTCAGAGAGTGCAGACCTACTACAGGAGATGGTCAGAAACTGCAGACCTACTACAGGAGATGGTCAGAGACTGCAGACCTACTACAGGAGATGGTCAGAGACTGCAGACCTACTACAGGAGATGGTCAGAGACTTCAGACCTACTACAGGAGATGGTCAGAGACTGCAGACCTACTACAGGAGATGGTCAGAAACTGCAGACTTACTACAGGAGATGGTCAGAGACTGCAGACCTACTACATGAGATGGTCAGAGACTGCAGACATGGAGCAAGAGATATAAAAGAAAAAGCAACGAATGCTGAAACTCTTGTGCTGGACGAAGCGCTCCACAATGTTCGTGTCCCCTCATGGAGTACTTTGTAGAAATGCAAGCCTTGTTGCCCTCAACGGACCAGGGAAATCCAAAGGAACTGTGTGTAAAGACACAAACAGAGGGCGCACGGGCCTAGTGCATTACCTTCTAAAAATGATATATAATAAAAAGTGGTATACTCACAAAGGAATAAAATCAAAGGCACATCACAATATAGACAGCATGGTTCAATCTCCCAAGATGGTAGCTATTAGGGGACTGTAGACCTCCAAAATTACTGACGCGTTTTGAGAGGTTCTGCCTCGAAACGCATCAGTATGGGGGTCAACAGTCCCCTAATAGCTACCATCTTGGGAGATTGAACCATGCTGTCTATATTGTGATGTGCCTTTGATTTTATTCCTTTGTGAGTATACCACTTTTTAGTCAATAAATATCATTATTAGAAGGTAATGCACTAGGCCTGTGCGCCCTCTGCTTGTTTTTTTTACATATGGAACAAGAGATGATCAGAGACTGTAGACATGCTACAGGGGAGATTTATGAGGTGGGATGAGGCAATATGATTAGTAAAAGCAGCTGAGGATATATGCAAATCTTTACCTTCCTATGAAAGTCGAGCTATTCATATATCTCCAGAACGATCATTATGACTGACGATGACCCCTGCGGACGAGTTTTTCCATCATAGGAATTGTCCAGGTTTCTGACAGGTGCACTTTAAACATTCTTCCTCCTAACATGGCAGCTGTTTTGGGATAAGGCAGCCATGTTTTTTTTTAGAAGTTGGAAGTGAAAGGCCTTTCCCGATAAGTGGAATTATCTTGTATCCGGACGTCTGGGCGCAGCAGCTGCTGGCGTGACGCTCCCGTCACAGGTCTTGCCAGCCGCTGACAGAAGGTTTAATGGTTTCTAGCTGGTAATGAAGAGATCTGCTGGGCTGCCGGCTTGACTGCCTTGCGCTTCAGTGTTCCTTCTACAAAGAGGTTGTTGTATGGAGACGTCGCTGTTCTATGTACCCGGGGACGTGCCTTTTGCCGCAGGAAAGATGGATTCTGTCAGTAGCACAATAGGGCAGCTCCATCACAGCCTGGCTGGGCACCAGAGCAGAGAATGCCAGAACACCTCAGGAAAAGATCCAGACCTGCTCATTCCAGATTTATTCCCTCAAGTCATTCATTGCTTTTCAAGAAGTCTGGTGTCAAGCAGCGGCCATTTTGAATGTCCTTCTGTCCTTCTTGGTTGTCATGGGACTTGTTTTCCCTAGTAGTTTTCTGGTGTCAGGCAGCAGCCATGTTGATGGGCTTCCCTCCATCTTGGTTGTCATAGACAGACAGTTTTATGGTATTAGGCAGCGGCCATGTTGGACAGCCTTCTCTCCTTCTTGGTTGTCACTGGGCTTGTTTTTCTATCAGTTTTCTGGTGTCAGCCAGTGGCCATCTGCCAATTTGCATGGCTTTCGGTCTATCTTGGTTGTCACAGGACTTAATTTCTCTAGTAGTTTTCTGGTGTCAGGCAGCAGCCATGTTGGACGGCTTTCCCTCCATTTTGGTTGTCACAGGACTTGTCTGTCTACCAGATTTTTAGTGTCAGGCAGCAGCTATGTTGGACAGCCTTCTCTCCTTCTTGGTTGTCACTGGGCTTGTTTTTCTATCAGTTTTCTGGTGTCAGGCAGTGGCCATCTGCCATTTTGCATGGCCTTCGGTCTATCTTGGTTGTAACAGGACTTAATTTCTCTAGTAGTTTTCTGGTGTCAGGCAGCAGCCATGTTGGACGGCTTTCCCTCCATTTTGGTTGTCAGAGGACTTGTCTGTCTACCAGATTTTTAGTGTCAGGCAGCAGCTATGTTGGATGGCCTTCCCTCCATTTTGGTTGTCACGGGACCTGTTTTTCTATGGGTTTTCCGGTGTCAGCCAGTGGCCATCTGCCAATTTGCATGGCTTTCGGTCTATCTTGGTTGTCACAGGACTTAATTTCTCTAGTAGTTTTCTGGTATCAGGCAGCAGCCATGTTGGACGGCTTTCCCTCCATTTTGGTTGTCACAGGACTTGTCTGTCTACCAGATTTTTAGTGTCAGGCAGCAGCTATGTTGGATGGCCTTCCCTCCATCTTGGTTGTCACGGGACCTGTTTTTCTATGGGTTTTCTCCGGTGTCAGGCAGTGGCCATCTGCCAATTTGCATGGCCTTCGGTCTATCTTGGTTGTCACAGGACCTAATTTCTCTAGTAGTTTTCTGATGTGAGGCAGCAGCCATGTTGGATGGCTTTCCCTCCATTTTGGTTGTCAGAGGACTTGTCTTTCAATCAGATTTCTAGTGTCTGGTAGCAGCCATATTGGATGGCCTTCCGTCCATCTTGGTTGTCACGGTGCTTGTGTTCCTATCAGTTTTCTGTTGTTAGACAGCTAACATGTTGTACGGTCTTCTTGTAGTTAGGAGGACAATAGATACATCTCTTATAGCAATAAACTGTAACCGAATGCAAACTTTGAACAGCCATTTTGTAGGTGAGAAAATAATGGAGGTGTTACCATGGGAGCCATAGTTGTCATGGGAAAGCAAAGCCTGTGGAGTTACCTGAGGAAAATGATGCTGTTGCCTTTAGCAGCCAGACTCCAGCTGCCATTTTGTAACTATGAGGAATGTCATCTATAGCAACCTATGGCAACCGGCCCCAGCCAAATCCCTAACCGCTCAAGCTGGTGTGGAGGGGGTTAGGGGACTCTGCAATAGACTTTGTGGCCCTATAAGGTATGAGGTTTCTGGAGGAGGCTGAGAAGCACTGTGGGATGTTGGTGGCAATGTGGAGGGCTGGAGGCTCTGCAGCAGGCTGGGGAGCACTGTGGGTGCTTGGAGGGCACTGTGGAAGACTGTTGGAAGTTGGGAGTACTCTGGGAGCTAGTGACCACTGTGGTAGACTGTTTGAGACTGGGGACACTATGGAAGGCTATAGGCTTTGCAACATGTTAGGCGTTACTATAGGAGTTTGGAGAGAATTCTGGAGGCCAAGGGCTTTCAGGAGGCCCTAGGGAACTGTGGGCCACCATGGGAGGATGGGGGCACTATGAGAGCTGGAAGGCACTGTGGAAGGCTAAGGGATCTGCAGCTGTCTGGAGGCCCAGGAGAGCGTAGGCCACAGCCCAGCAGTTGGGAACCACTAGGTTAAGGGGTTAGGACTTTGGGGGCCAATTCATTAAAACCAAAAAATCAATGAACTCAAGACACTGCCACCAGTCATCAGATTTCACCTTTTATTTATTGGAAACATTTGGCAAGAATTCCGATTAGTCGCTCTGGGATGCAGCTCCGCTTTTGCAGTAGTTTTCTTTCTTTTTAGTGCATCAGGTCCCGTTGGGAGCACTCATCTGATTGGTTGTCTCAGGTCTCCCGCACTTCCCATAATCCAGTCCCCGTGGCGAGCGGAAAGCACAGCTTCAGCACTGACAGTATTTGACGGATTGCGCCGCTTGCTCTACCTGCCTCCCCGCGGTGCTCATTATAATTGCACAGCAGCTAATAGGTTTATAGGGCGAAGCATGCAGAGCCCCGGGGAGCAGATACCTCCGCTTCTAATTGGTTTTCAGTGTGCTGATGGCGGAGGAAGTTTGACCTTCTTACTGCGGGAGGAGAGATTACCATGCAGAAGCCGCTCGCTTGGCATGATCCGACGACTCCTGAACAACCCAATTCTGCAATTGGGCTAAGAAATCCAGCCTTGGGCCAGGCACAGTTGTCTTTCAATTGGATGATCATTTTCAATTACAGTTCTTGATCCCTGATCCTCTCCACCCTTCCCTACCTCCTTGTGTTTGGGGGGGGGGGGGTCTCTTTATAGTTTGGTTTATTAACAAAAAAAAAGTAAATATTCCACACAAAATATTACTCAACTTGTTACAGGATGATTGTACAGTGCAAACAATCTGGTTGGATGGAAGATGGAGATTTCTGCCATTCCCCGCCAACATTTTGTTGTTGTAGCTTCACTTGTACAATCAGAAACTTCTCAGTTTTAGGACAGGATTGTACCATAAAGTGAGACGTTCCAAATAACGAGGTGCCAGAAATTGTTGCAAATAACCTGAAACCCCCACAAATGACGACTCCTACATTGTGTGTATGGCAACCATAAGAGCAAAGCTTCTCCTCCCAGGACTCGTTCACACTTTGCTGTTGAGGTGTGCTATGTGCGATAGTGTGTTGCGGCACCATTTGAATGGGACTCCAATGCACAAACGCAACACAGTTCCGACACACATGCGTTAAAGATCATCACAACACATAGTAAAGTACTGCCATGTATTGTGGTGCTCGGCGTCGGAAACAAAACAGTGCAGGTCCATTTTTTATCTGTTTCATTGTGTTGGAGGCCCATTCACTTAAAGTGGCTGTAAAAAATATATTTTTTTAAAATAATAAACGTGTTATATTTACGTACTCTGTGCAATGGTTTTGCACAGAGCAGTTCCTCCTCTTCACCGACACAGCTTGCTCTTGGGGCACTTGTGTGGGCTTGATCCCAAGCAGGCTGTGTGCATTCTTAGGCACACACAGCACAGCTCGGCCCCACCCCCTTCTCACCAGATCTGACTGATAGCAGCAGGAGCCAATGGCTCCTATGTCTGCCTAGTCTCCTGTGAGAAGAGAGGGAGCAAAGGAGCTGTTGCACATGGGCACAGCACTGGATCGATATCAGGCTCAGGAAAGTATTTAAAGTGATTCTAAAGGCTTGTTTTTTTTTTTTTTTTAAGAAAAAATAACATACATGTGTATACTTACCTGCTGTGTGAAGGGGTTTTGCACAGAGCAACCTGGATCCTCCTCTTCTTGGGTCCCACGCAGGCTCTCCTGGC